AATATTTTTTCTACCGGATAAAATCCCGAATCAGATACTTTTTGTAGTTCATTTTCATAAAAAACTACCTTCAATCACTTCTCCAGCTAAATCTCTTAATTTATAAACTACAGGTTTTCGGGGGATCATTCGATGAATTGTAAATATTTCTCGAGTCCAATTATTTTCGTAACCCTTCTCAAAAGGTCTTTTCAGCTTACTAATACGCACCGTATCGCCTGTTTTAAACTGGGGCTTCGTAACAGATTTTATCATATCACCATATAAATTCTTCCATACCACAGACTGATTATTTATATTCACTGATGAAGGTTCCATTTGAATACTGCGATGCCAAGTGTGATTGTAACTATAGATTAATTTATTCAACACATCTATATAGCAATGTGTGTTAAACTCTGTAAAATATTTCCACATTTTTGTCTTTAGAGTCCTATTAAATCTTTCAATAATGCTCGCTTTTGTTTCGTTATTTGTTGTAAAATAATGAATGCCCTTTTCTTTAAATAAATTTTGCACTAATTTATTTTTAAATTCCGAGCCTTTATCTGTTTGTAATGAATCTGGTTTACGCTCTTTAAAAATGTTTTCAAATGCCCTTTTCACACTAGAGCCCTTCTTGTCTTTCAAAGGTATAGCCCAAGCATATTTCGAAAAAATATCTATGCATGTTAACAAATATTTATACCCTCTATTAAATCTGGCTAAATTTTGTAAATCTACTAAATCAGATTGAAATTGTTCGTCGATCCCCCCTACAATGACTCGGTTGCGTTGGAACTTGTGTCGCAGAGGCTTGTGAAGCGTATAAGAATCCCTCTTCTCTAACCATCTTTTGATCTCTTTGCTCTTTACTCCAGAAACACGACGTAACGTAAAGCATTGATACCACCGAAGCTTGCCGGTTGCGCTGGATTCCGATAAGTCAGATCCAGAATTTCTGACATTACAACATGAATTTTTATCAACGGAAAATGTGATGTTCATCCTCATACAACCGCTATCCAAATAAATGATAAATCAAATTTAAATTTATTTATACTTTTTATAAGCCCCTTACCTAATCCTCATAACAACCTGTTCAAACATTAGTTTTATAGTTTCATCTAAGTTAGAAAATTATTATTATCATTTCATTTCTTAAAATATAAAAAAATAAGAGACTAAATATTTCAATTGTAAACTCTTTTATATGCACAAAAATTTATTTACAAACATTCACAAAATAACTTGATAGGCGATTATTCACACGCATATATATATATATATATATATATATATTACATTTACAATAAATTTAAAAAATGAACCAACTAACCTGAAACATATAAATCTTTAGCATTATTTAACAACATTTCATAATCAATATTTTTTAGAAATGACACTGTAATATAATTTGCAATATTCGAATTTTTACTCACAAATTCAGCAGCAATGTTCACAATATTTATTTTACACACAGCAAGATCTCCATATTTCCAAAGTTTATCCGAATTGGTCATTGTGACACACTCATGGCCAAGCTGATTGCCGTATTCCATAATGCACCCACTACACTCGAAAATGTCCGCTATGTTTGAACTTATAGTCTCTTTTAAGAGTTCGATAAGAGATGTCGAAAGACACATTTCTGCATCAACAGGAGCGATTTGGTTGTCCTGATGCGATGGCATTTGCTTGAAAACTTCGTTCAAAACGTAGAACTGGAAAGTAGGCCCAAACATTAATGTAACCACCTCCGTTGTTATTTGTTTTCTTATTCGTATGAGTTGCTCCCATTCACATTTTGTAAGAACACATACACTTGGCAAAAATTCACGAGTCAAATCTTTGCGCACAAAATATCTCTGAAACGAAACACACGGGGAATTTTCAACTGTCACTGTTGAAAGGAACAAAGAGTCTTGTATAACTGCACACTGACCTTCTCGCAAAGAGGGACTTAGTATATCCTTATATTCCACTTTGTCCGAAAAGGCTTGCCACAGGTAAGGAGAGAGAGTGATTCCGCTTTTCGTCGGTATAAACTCGTTGTTTTCGAAGCGCACATATTTTCTTAAGTGTACACGTATTACACGAGCGAAATCTGTTATCACAACAAAATTTTCACCACCAAGATAAAAATGATGAGCAGGTAAAGAATCCAACTTAAACGTCGTTATACTTGCATCGTTAGTCATATTACTTTGACTCGAAAATCTAACTCTCTTGTTCGAAGTTGTAGGTTTCTCTGTTGCAACAGCACGCTTCATTTTCAAAAAATCGCAAGACAATATTTCTTACAAACTACTTTCTTCGCAACAAACAAGAGGCAACTGAATTCTTTCCCAAGAAAAATGGCTCTGTTGCTTTCGATGTGACGTCAAAACAAAATGGCTGGCTTAGAACCAATAGGAAAAGCTTGTTATCTTATAACACACCTCCTTCGTGACGTATTCCATTATACGTCAGACAACATGAACAAACACGAGATACTTTCATCGTTGCCGCAAGAAAAAATAAAATTTTGATAAAAACATCGTTGCCACAAAATTAAAAAAAATTATCTCTGACAATATTTCTCACATATTTTAGAAACAAACACTTCTAATTTCACTTTTCCAACAACTCCACTCGATTTCAAGATGGCGGATTCAAAAATGAACACGTGGAACAATCGTCGTTGCCACAAAATCAAAACGAAACTTTCCCCCCAAATCCTCGTTGCCATCCAAAATACCTAAATCCTAAAAATCTCCATGCACTTCTACTTCCACTTTCAAAACAAACACTTCTACTTTCACTTCGAAACAACTCAACTCCACTCAACAAAATGGCGACACTTTCGGTCACGTGACCTCTGACGTCACTTCCGCCGCCGCAGTGGGGCCAATACTACTTATGTGCTATTTCACAGTCTACCCGCAAAACCCCAGAACAAAGCCTATAGGCGACAACGCTCGCTATATTTGAGTCATAGACTCGCAAATGCGATGTGTCTGTGAGTTGAGGTATTCTGTCGGTGACAGAATTCACATACTTTTCTATCATAAAATGTCATATACGTACTTAGTCTACGGAATGGTAATGTGATGGGAGAAGGCATAGCCAAGAACAAAACTGATGCGTGCACCACAGAGAAGATAACGGTAACACTAGACTTCCAGGCAGGAACTTTAGATATATCACAAACAGTAAAGTTTATGCTCTGCAAGAAAAAAGCGTTTGCGGTCATGAAGGTAATACATGTGCGATTAAAAATTGGGATAACTGCTTTATTGGTCTACTTTTTTAAATGCCAGTGGTTAACTGCGGATCATAGGTTTATACTGTTTCTGAAGTTTAATGTGCATATGTTAGAGAGTACGTGGCATTAACAAACGTAACAATTTACCAGTTTTCTAGATACTGTCTTGCATGTTTGGACAATTCTTGTGAAAGGCTTTTGTTACTCCGGAAGGGTAAACGGCTCTATTGCGAAGCATTTTGTGAATGAATGTCGGAATAGTTTTGGCTTTTGGATAATTCTGCGTTACCTCTCATTAATATTTGCAAGATGACAGCAGAATTACAACCACTGTCTAATCGCATAACATACTTATACCTCCACAGCACGGACATGGCCGTGCTCTGCATCGTATGGTTCAAACCAAGTTTATTAACGTGGGACATACATGTTATCTTCCAGGAAAGCGCCTTAACATAAGCAACCTTCCAACTTACAGCTACATCCCCCCGGGGCTCGACGTAGAGAACTCTGCGAAGCTACTGGCTAGGATCTGTACCTAGGCAGTCTCGGCCACGGGGGTATAAAATTTATGAACTTTGTAGTTCTGAAGGCTCTGGGAAAGGTCACTTATTGGCCGGCCTCGGAGTCTGGCACGTCCTAGCGCGGCGTGGTTCTAGTAACCCGGGGGTCTCCCCCCGGGGTCGCTGGGTAATGTCCCATTGCGACGGGCTCGCCCAAGCGACTGGTAGGAGCATTAGACGACCGGTGCTGCCTGGTGTCTTATCCAGGTGGTGCGCTGCTCTCTTGGAGGGTAATAGTGGAGGTTGAACTTCCACGATGTGCCCAAGGGGGAGTGGACCCGCAGTGAGATCGAGTTCTCGGAGCGGGGAAGCCCAAACTTATCTTATCTTACAGCTACATTATGTTTGCAAAACCACTGTTACAAGTGCTACAGACGTGTGTGCCATTTTATATACTCTTTTAAGGCTTACAAGCGATTGCAGAATGCTTCAATTTGCACCCATGTTCCTAAGCTTGATTAGCCATAAAATGATTGTTGTTGGAAAGTCTGATAACTTTGCTTATAAGATAGAATAAAAATTCAACTAAATTTTATTTGTCCTTTTCTGAGGATAAGAAGCATAGCTAGAACCTATAAATGAAGAAGATTGGTTAATTTCTTGAAAATAACATTAACCAATTGTGTGATCTGCCGTTCAGTGTTACAGATACCAAGGAAAAATGTTCTCTCAAAGCGGTACACCTGGTCATACTTTTTATCTATATTTTCCAAACTCTAATGGAAAATTAAAAACATTGCAGTCTACGAAAAGTACAGATTAGCGCTAAATTCTACGAGGATGCACGGTAGGCGTTTGCTTCATTTATAAATGAGTTACTGCTAGCTAAATTCTTTTCCTCATGCTCTTAATTTTCATAGCTATCCGAACTGAAAGAAACAAAAGAGAATGTTTAAATTTACATAAGCGGGGATGTTAGTAAAATTTAAAACTAAATATAGCATTTTCAAAACCAGCTTTAGAGGCCTGGAAAAATCATCTGTCAGAGTTAAAACAGCATTCATCATATATATGTGCTTCAATCAAAATTTTTCACAATTTCTGAGTTGAAAATAACTTTCTTCCTCGTGTTAAGTTTTATATATATTTGGCAAGAAAGTTCTTAAATGTCATGACAAACACATATTTTATGCAATTAAATATCTTCATCACAATTTTTTGTGCTGATAAATAATCATAAAGAAGTGGGATACTCTGTAATTACTACTTGCCTCTTGCTATGCGCAAAACACGGAAAACTCTGATGATTGTTGGATTGATGGGTATCAGATCAGATTCCATCTTCTCCAAGACAATACCAGCGATAGAGAGGCCAACGATCACTACGTCCAATTGATTCCACCTGAAAAACAAAATTGTTTAAAAATCTATATTCTAGAAAGCAACTTCTAAGTATACCTTGCAAAAAGATTTACCTTAAAACGAGTTTGTCTTATCCCAAATAATTTCAGGAAAGAAATCGAATACTTTTTGTTGTCATGTATATTGATATTTAGTTTATCCGTATATTTTTCAAAATTAGGCAAAAAAGTGACCTTGCATTGGAATAGATTTTGAAAAAAACTTTATCAGTTATGCGGGCAATCAGACACAAGTTTCCCTTTTTTACAGAAGCAAAATTTTTCTGCTTTGTTGCTAAAGAAGAAGGAGTTATGAAGAAGTTGGAACTAGAAGAGCAGTAAAAGAGGAATACAGTTGTTACCCAACTTGTGGGCCAATTAAGGTCGGTTTTCTGTTTAAGTTAAAATTTAACATCCGTATGTTTCGCTTCCCGTTCAGAATTATATTACTTAGGAAAATGCCTTTGCATTTTTAAATGCATGCCGTTATAACTTTGCCCCGTCTCCGAAGGTGCCAGTACTTTTAATCAAGTGGGTTATTTTTTGGAAAGGTGGAAACTGTAAGCATCTCTGATATAATGGTATTCAAACCCAAATTAAAGTCATTATCTAACTTCATAAAGTAAAAAAGGCGACCTTCATAAAATTAACTTTGTAAAAAGGGTTTGTGAGCTTTACGCCGTGGCACTGCATTCGGAATGGAATTTTTATTTATACTTTTCTAATCAGAATAGCAAACTAAAACACTTCATAAAAGTATCTCAATTTGCACCTTTATGAAGATTACTATATAATTACGACTCACCTAGCCAAACAAGTTGGTTTTATGATCATAACAGGCCACGTTGCTATAAAAGGTATTTTATTCCTCCTTCCAGTATGCCTTCGGGGTGTAATGGTAGCACACTCGGCGCGTATACGAAAGGTCCAAGTTCGAGTCACGGTGAGGGCATTGCTCATATTTCATTTCCCCTGCTTCATAAAACCTAATGACTCTACAACTATTTTAATTTATGAAGTTAGTAAATGATCAACATAAAGGCGGAAGCAACTCTTATGCCCTTGCACTCTTGTACGCTTTTTGCCTTTTTGAACGATGGCCAATTGCATAAAGATACCGGCATCTTTTATGGTGTAACCCCCAGAAAAAGATGAAAGTAAGGGAGAACTTGAAGAATAAAACCTTAACTAAATCGTACAGATATGCCATATTAATGTAATTAAATTGTTTATCAATTAAAAAATCACGTATACGAATAAAATATAAAATTAAACTTCTTTCAAATACAGAACAAATTCTTCTCAATGGTCGTTCCATGTTATTTATTTCCTGTCCATTTAAAAATTTAATCTTGTTTGTTTAAAAAATATTATAACCTCGTCAATTATAAATGAGATTTAAATAACTAATGATTTTATTTGAAGAAGAATGCAATTCATTTTTGTACTTTCCTTATTAGTAATTAAATAGTGATTAATTTAAATAAAAAATGCTTTAGTAAGTTGCATTTTCTAGCAGAAAAACTTCAGTTGAAATTTAAACCCAGAATGTTACGCGGCATATTGGCCTTTAGGTGGTAATTAATTATAAATTCCTCGCTTAGCATTTATGACTTCTACTGACAGCTGGAGCATACCAACGGCGACATAAACACGTGATGAGTGACGTGAGCGCAACGTTTTAATATAAACACAGAGTACGGAAACAGAGGACTTAAATTCTGCTTTAAGGGGACTCATACACCTTAAACCCCTCATGATCTTCGACTATGTGACTGTTGCAAGAATTGGGATATTTTATTTATTTTAAAAAGTAATTTCTTCCAACCGTTTACAGCTGACTACATAATATAGCTGCTTTGGAAACTAGCAACAAGAAAGTTTGTGTTGCCACAAATATTTTTGTAATTTAATCCTCTTTGTGACAAAGTATTTCGCCATGTTTCCACCTTGCGCGCATGATATTTTAAAAATGGGTAATGGTATATACTTGAAATTGGATGGAATTCTTTATATGGGCACTATTTTCTAACGGAACCAACAATCTGATGAATATTTTAATATTGAAAAATTTTATGGACGAAAACATTACAAATTTTTTTAAAAAAACACATTTTATAAACTCAACTCAAAATAAAATAAAAATTTAACATGAAATTTTTAGAATTTTAGATTCACAGTCGTTTCCAAATGTTATAAAAGCTATATATTAAATATGGAATTAAATTATGAAACAGAATGTTTTAAACTGTGCGCGCAAGGTGGAAACATGACGAAAAATGTTGTCACAAAGCGAATTAAATTATATAAATATCTGTGGCAACACAAACTTTCTGATGACTATTTCAGAAAGCAGCTATATTATGTAGTCAGCTGTAAAACGTTGGTAGTAATTGCTTTTAAAATAAGTAAGTTATCCCAATTCTTGCAACAGTCACCTATTCGAACATCTTATGGGTTTCAAGGTGTATGAGTCCCCTTAAAGGTTCTACACCGTTCTTAAAAGTTCGGCATTCTTAAAGAATAAACGAAAACGGTGCTGTAGCGTTTTATCTAAAACGTCGTGTTTAGTAATAACTAGTAACATGAAAGCGACAAAAGTTACGTGAACTTAAAATGGGTGACGTGTTTCCCAAATTGAAACTGTATAGAAATACTAATATTTATTTTTTGTGAAAAAAATTATAAATTTCTTGCTTAGCACATTGAGTTCTATTAACAACGGGAACGCAACAACGGCGACATGAATCTAAGACGAGTCACGTGAGCACAACTTTCAGTGAATGTGGACCCCGTGGGGTGATTCTTCGAAATCTTTTACAGACAGTTAACTTCCTCTTGTTTTGTAGGTTAGTGTATACATTTCATCAAGATCGGAATAACACTATAGATATGTATCAGTTACACACACACATAAAGAAATAAATGGACACTTTTCTTTACAGTATATGTAGATGGTTTTGAGGGTGTCATTTCTCAGGTCCAGATAGTAATTAATGATGATTGAAATAAAGCTGCGTTTATTGTTTTAAAATCTCTTATTTTGTTAATTAATAACAGAATAAATTTGAAAAAAAAATATTAAATATTTTACGCTTCGCTGAAAGACAAAACACTGTCTCGTGGAAGAGAAAAATATTCTAATTAGGGCAGTGGCAGCATATTTCTTTTAAACCTAGTTTTCAGATTAAATCTGAAGCATAAATATTTTACGCTTTACAGAATGGCAACACAAAGCTTTATCGATGACACTCTTCTACTGCGTTATATTATAGATTAGTTTACATACTAAATGTATTTAGAACTCTTTTAATAGGTTATCGTATCTTAAAACTTCTATTCAATGTTTAAAAATGCCAAATATTCTTAAAAATTTTTGAAGGTGAAGCCGAGGCACATACTTCTTTTGACATTTCGGAAAACAGGTGTCTTAGATATATAAATTATGCGCCCTCTTTGTAATCTAATGCGCATTACACCATGGAATGAGGAAGAGGGAGAGAATGCACTGTTGTGTTATGAAAATAAGCGAAAGCAGTGGAAATTTACCTGTTTTTTAAATACTTCAGTATTCCGAGGGCAACTACCTTCATGAAAGCTTCAACTATGAATACAGCAGTGAAAAAATAATTGAAAACCTTCAAAGCATATTCCAGTTTCTAAGAAGAAAAAAAAAACATGGTAAAATATTTAATACATGGTATAAAGAAATAATGGTTAAGCAACAATCTTATGTTTGCCGTAGAGTTTAGCCAAGACTCTAACGATTTCGAAAAATTCTGCAGTATATCTTTGGTCCTGATGAAGAGGGACTTGTACATATTCGCCCTCGAAACTGATGGTTAAAATCTAAGCCAAACACAAGGTTGTTGCTTTGCTTAATTGTATGCTTTTTACTTTCGCATGTTTCTCTTCTTTCTTAAAAATAATGATTATTCCAAAAGAGAAATGTCCTGTTGAAACCGGTAAAGAAATACTAGTTTAGTTTAAAGTTTGCTGCGAGCTTAGTTTCTTCTTCAATATCATTTAAAGTGCTTTCTCTCTTTCTTTGAAAGGTGTAGTAACAATTAGTTTTCTTAAAATTTTGTATATTTAAAGCAAACTGCTTTGAAATTCACTAATTCTCTCTTTTTAATTATAATTTTGATTTCTTGAAACATCATGCATTTTGAAAATAAAATATAAGTTTACCTTTGAGACGCAAATAATAGCATAACACTTTTAATTTGATTTTGAAAATGAGATTAGAGAAACAGAGTTTTAAATGATAGATGCTAATGTATCGAAATGGTTCTTAATTATTATTGAACTAAGATAAAAATTAACTTTGGATCAACAGTAATGCCTAGAATACGCTCTAAGCGCTTTAAATACCTGATATAGGTCTCTGTTTTCATCCAACAATATATGCTAGCTTGAAGTAATATATATTTGCTTTGGAAAGTGTTTGTTAGCTTAAAGAAATCTACCCTTTTGGGTTAGAGTAGATTGAAGGGTGCCCCTTGGATTATCGATTAAGTTGTTTTTCATTTATCGCCAAGTTATTGTTTCATTTATGGTTTGTTTATAGTAATCTGAGATTGTATCATTTATGGTAACCTGAGCAGTTGAATGCTGTGGAAACCCTATTATCATGTAATTGGTTGCGTGATTGCGGTGAATTTGAATGACGAGACGGATTTTGAAAAGAAGTACGTCGTTATTTTGTGTTTACACGGTAAAATGGCTGAATGTTGTAAGATTGGTTTGAAGATTCTGTACAATTTGGAACGAAAGGCGTGTTGACTAGCGTGTAAAGGTATACTTAGTTGCCATTATAAGTGTCCTGTTTGTAGGAAGAAAACGCGTATAGTCGAACGTCGGAGGATACCTGCAGTACGGAGGATAATTTTGACTTGTCATATATATCCGTCATATTTTTGTGAATTTATGTATCGGCACTAGTATACAAATTCTAGTTCAGATAATTTTAGGGAGTTTTTGGATGCTGTTAAAGAATTTTGTTTAACAGAAGACAGAGAAATTTGTAAATAAGGTAAGTGAATATTTCCTTTGTGTAGTGCTAAGTTGAATTTCTTCTTTTATGCTATTTTATTGTTTGATTTAAAATGAAGTGTATCGAGATTATATATTTTTTGTTGGTTGCTCCCTTGACGTTTTAAGAGAATATAGATCGCTGTGTTAATGAACAAAGGGAGTGCCCAATGTTTAATTTGTGCAATTTTCTGATGCTAGTTTAAGTGAAAATAGGTCGATGTGTACATGGATATCGAGTTTGTGCAATTCTTTGACTTGTTATTTTGGATTTGTGTAGCGGTGATTTTTGGTGCAAAAATCGCTGCTACACAAAGCCAAAATAACAAGTCAAAGAATTGCACAAACTTGGTGTCCATGTACCGCCAAAAATCGCCAATTATCGCGAAGGGGCACCCGTAAATATATTTTTACCCTCATTTGTCCTTATTTTTGATTTTAGTAAACCAAAACTTGTTGACTATAAGTTGAGTTGTTATATGCAGAAGGATTTGAATTGAAGTTTTACTTTTTAACATGGGCTTTAGGCAACTCTCAGGCAATTAAACAGACCATGGTATACCAAACCGCGTTATAACCAGATCCTACTGTATAAGAGTTCATTATAACCTGAAACAAGTACACACGTTCCATCGAAACAAAACTACAGTTTCCTCTGCCAGTATGCTTATGCATTTACATAACTTCAACAAAGCGAGCTTTGGGAAAGTGCATAAAAGACTCTCTTTTCAAATCGTTGCTGCCAAACGTATGATTCTATTTTCTTCGATCGAAAATAAATAACAAGAAAATACGATACTGAAATATTTGTTCTTTTTTTCCTCTCGTATAAAGATAACATAAAGTTGTGTCGCAAGTTATGTATTTTTGAACTCACTATTTTGTATTTCATGATAGCATATTATCTGTAACTATAATGTACGAGGAGAAATGAGAATGTATACATTATTATTGTATTTTCAACATATTTTGTCTCGAGTAAAAATGTAAATTTTTGTTACAAACATGTAAGATATAAAAATATGACGGATATTAATTCACAAATTAAAACTTAATTAGAAAGAACTGGCAATAGACCTTTAAATTCATAATTTTTAATTAAACACATTCGCTCTTCAACCAGACGTTTTGAATTACATTAGTTTCATTTTTTGCTGAAATTTGTTCAGTATAAAACTGGAGTCCTTACTGTTTACAAAAACATCTGCTGCATTTAAACCTCGAAATATTTAAAAGCGTGTCTTAAAGTAGAGGTTTTATGCCTTCATTTAAGTTGATAAGAAATCAGAAACCAAGTGCTCTCTTTAATACTCACCTTAGGCATCATGTAGAATTCCATCGCCATGGTGACAACGTTTAGTCCAATGACCGCTGCGATGGCCAAGTCGAAGTATTTACTTGTTATGATGTTGTGAGTGAATAGCCGGGGCTTCGAGTAGTTGATGTAATATGGAGGCTCCCTCATTCCTGGATAAGTTGGGAAGTAATTATCAGTCTCCTAAGATAAAACTTAATCGAAGAACTCATTCAAACTCTTTATAAGTACTTACGACAATGTGTATTTACACTTTTTTTTCATTTATACACTCAGTGGTAATCATTTGGCCGTGATAAAAGTAGCTTACAAAACAAGCATAAACGTACATATATGACTGACTGCTTACAAATAATCAGTAACGTAACTCTACAGGAATATAACTTTAAACTGTGTTCTAAGTAATTCCTCTAGGAGTTCCGCGAATCAAAAACAAAATTCGAAATTTTAAATACTTCATGGACTGTAAAACTAAAAATCTAAAATTACTAATTAAATAATACATTTCATTTTTGTTATTATTATTTTCTAAAATATAAATAATAGATCTGTTTTTATGTGTAAAAATATTGTAATGAAATAATCATTATCCATTTTTTTCCACTTAAAATGCACGCAAGACTGAGGTTTTTTAGCAGATTTTTTTTTGCTTATTTTTCTGAGAATGGTAGGGGTAATTCAAAGCATTTTTAATTTTAGGCGTTCCACAAAAATTATAGTTTTTAAGACTTCCCCGATACGAAGAAGTTTGAATATCATTGCTCTAAAACAGGGTTTCCCAGTCACATTTAGACATGGAACACATTTAATCATTATTGGTATATATTCAAGAAGATAACGGAAGTCCTATGTACACAGAATCGAGAAAAATGGGTTACTTCTCCGTCCCCTGTTCTATTGGGCGATTGCCAAAATTAAACTTGCGTTTTTAATAACTCGAAATCGTGACCTAGAATATATATATTAGATTTATAAATAATATTGATATAACATGCCTATTTTAACAAAAAATAGGACTTTCTGAAATGACATGATAATTTGTTTCCATATTTCGTTTCTATTACTCAAATTATGCTTAAATATCAAATTTTGTAAATGTTGGTGGGAAATTTATGGAGTATTCGACATTTAAGGAGTAATTCATTTGATGATTTTATTTCTTACTCTTAGTTGTTAGAGTCTGAAAGAAAAAATATAATTTTTAAATAGTGTAATTACTGAAGTTATTGCATATAATGTAAAAATCATTATTTCTGGCATTTTCTTTATTCCTGTTACTAAAAGAAAAATGGGCCTATTTCAAAACTTTCTAAGTCTGCTTAACAGCTCTTGAGCAATGAAGATTACTTTACTTTTCCCTCTTTCTGCTATGACAATTAACCAAAAATTGATTAATTTCTTTTGTTTGTTCAGTTTAATGTCAAAATTTCAACAGACGCCGCTTACACTCGAAAAGAGTTCCACATCCCTTTCTTTCCCGCATTTCTAAAAATAGATTCCGAAAGGACCCGCCTACACCCTAACTTATTCTCTCTGCCTCTCCCTTCTCCAGCCTGGTTCGAATTCCTAATTCCATTCTGAGTACTAACGGACGTGTCTCGCTTTAAAAACTGGCAAATACGTCAGTTTATTAATTCATCTTCTGGCCATTTATGTGTAATATGTAGATTTTCTTTTCATACAATTTTAATTTTACCTTTTTGTCTTATGTGAATATAATTTTATTCACCCTTTCTTAAGTGTTTAATTGTTTTTACTAAGATTGCATCATGTTCATTATTTTTAGAAAGTTTTCATTAAGTTTATATGTTTAAAGGCGAAGGTGTCGGGGGCATTTTTCTCAAGTAAGGAAAATACAGCTCACTCTTACAATAATATATCACGATTTTGAAATTTATTTTTAAACATGACGGAACTGTCACTTTCTTCCTGAATTCTATACAGCGCTTTTATTTCTCACTTAAACTCTACTTACTTAGATTAAACTCATCTTACTGAAAAATGTGTTTGACATAATAATTCTTATTTGAGAAAAAGATGAAACACCTTGGTATTTATTAATTATTGTTAATTGATCGGAAGTTGGTTTATTCTTAGAAAGTCAACTAATTTCCGGTCAATGACGATAATTACTCGGTTTATTGATTACATTTTCACTTTTAATTATACCTTTTAAAAATTTGCATTTTCAATTTATTCAAGATTCATTTTTTATGTTTCTATTTTAAAGTTTTTTCATGATTCAATTTTTAAATATGCTTACAAGTTGCTTCATTTCAATAGAATTATAACTACCTTTCAAAAGGAGATAATATACTAAATAATTCAATAGTAAATAAATTTTTATTTTTTTCCTTTGCGCGGCCGAGCGGTAAAGTCGCTGAACACTGGTAGTTCGGTCCGAGGTTCGAATCCCGCGAACGGGCTGGCTGCATGGGCGTTTTCGTGGTTTTCCCCATGTGTAACGTGTATACGAGCCAGTTTCCCTTAGAAAGTCCTCCACGAAGGCATCCCTCTTCTTAGGCAGATAGCCCTGGAGGCTTTGCCATAATTCCACACACACATTTTTTCCTTTGCAGCTTTTGCGCAAGTATTAGGCAATTAAATACGATTAAATCCCTTAAATCTTTGATATATATGTAATGATTTTAAAATGCGTAGAAGAAAACATTTAACCGCTTTCGATATTGCATCATGGTTGAGAAGACCGTAGTGGCTGAAAATAGGGCTGAGTGGAAAACCACGATGATGCATTTAGCACAACTGAGCTTGAAGAATCACAATCTTTATTTGTTATGCATATCAAATCATTCTTTTGCAGACAAAATATTTCTTAATTATAATTGAATACAATGAGTTACATTTTAAAGTACGACGTCATCTTAGGGAAATAAGCAGCAGCGTGGAACAGCAATGTCTTGCCAGCAGGGAAGCGTAAGCGAAAAAGAACGCTGCAACCACAGAGGAAGAAGGAAGGGAGTCAGTAGTTTCAGTTGGGGTTAGAGAAAGTTTTGGTTTGCAATTAATTTGATTGGACAAGAGGTATCTGCATTAAAACAATACGTAACATAGAAAAATCTCAAATCCGGGAAAACAGGTGAATTTAAGGGGGGAGCATAAAATCTAGAATTGTTAATTTTGAGGTCAGCAATTATATTTTTAAAGCAGCTATCGTATTTTTTATATCTTACACACACACACACATACACATACATATATAAATATGTATATATATATGAAATGTAATTTCTCATACATTATTTGTTTTGTGCAGCCGGGGCAACAGGAATGAGACAAATTTTGGAATATAAAGTGGTAGGTTTATTTTAGCATCCATCTCACAAGCGTTTCTTGAGCAGAAGCCCTATTTATACATATGTGTGCGTCACGAGGTTCATCCAATCAGCGATATTAATTGAAATCACGAGGTGACGCTATCTTCTCATCAGGAGTGTTCTTAAGGACTTTATGTAATATGACAGATTTATGAGTTTGGCGATTTGGCGGGCGCCAACAGGTTAATATATTTTATACTAAAGAAAGGATTTCGCCAAAATTTAGGAACAGGGATGCAATTTAGGTAGAGAATCGCCAACACATTATTAAGCAATATTATTAGAATTTAATTTAATCAATTGATTTAAAAATATCATTACATATATATATGTAAGATAAAAAATATGAAAGCAAACTTCTAAATTTAATTCACTATAACCACTTTTATTTTTTTATTTCATTTGGGAACTTCATCTATCTGTCCTAAATGTAGAGCTTTAGACTAAACTGCGTGATTCAAATTAATCATGCGATCTTACGTAACCCCTAATGCAGATGCCTCTTGACCAATCACCAAATTACTAACCAAAGCTTTTCTCTTCGCGTGCTTCCATCTTGCATAACTACGCACTTCAGCTTTGCTCTCTGCTCTGTTAAGATGTAATTTCGCTGGCTTGCTTTCTATCTCAACAATATCAAAAATGTTAATATTCTGTGGAAAGGTACGCCTACAGTGCCAAGTGATTGTGGCCACAAATATCAATTGGAAATAAAAATGGAATAAAAACCAAGTTCTTTAGATACTACACAATCAAAATTCTTCTTCAATATGGATCTAAGCACGCATCGACACTACTTCGGCTTTTCCTTGTGCTTTTTCTATTACATTTCTATATATATATATATACGTAGGGGAGTCAACTGAAAACCATAAAAGTAGAAATAAAAATCCGCATATGGCGCCAGTGAGCTGTAAGTTGGCATGCCTGTTTGCGATAGTATGTCGGATGTCTCCCAGATGGCAGCAGCCGGCAGATGCACAAACACCGGCGCAATAACAGTTCCACAATGGCAGCCCCACTAGCCACATGCACCAGCGAAGAGCAGCATTCTGTGATTCGGTTTTTGCGAAGTGAAGGTGGGAAACCGATTGGCATTTTTAGGCGAATGAAGGTTCAGTATGGAGATGCGTGTTTGTCACAGCCACAAATCTATGAATGGTGCCGGAAATTTGCAAATGGTGTTACGTCCGTGGCCGATGCTCCACGCCCCGGCCAGGCTCGGCGCGTAGTGACTCCAGAGACAATTTCAGCCGTTGGAAAACCGCCGTGTGACAATAGACGAAATTGCAGCATGAGTCATGGATCGGCACATCATATTGTGCATGATGTTCTCCAGTTTCATAAGGTGTCTGCAAGATGCCCCGACAACTGACGCCTGAACTGAAACAGCGACGTGTTGATGCGTGCGAAGACCTTTTGTGGCGTGCTGAACGTGACGGTAATGCCTTCCTGTCACGAATCGTCACTGGTGACGAAACATGCGTGCATTACCATCAGCCTGAAACAAAGCGAGCGAGCAAGGAGTGACGCCACTCCTCATCACCGAAACCCAAAAAGTTTCGGACACAGCCGTCTGCAGGGAAGGTTATGCTGACCCTCTTTTGGGACGAAAAGGGCATCACCTTGGAACACTACACGCCACGAGGAACCTCTGTGACGAGTACTACGTACTCGGACCTCCTAAAAAATCCTCTCCGGCTTGCCATCAAAACGAAACGACGAGGATTGCTGTCAGCTGAGTAGCTGTCAGGAGTGCTGTAGCTGAGTTGAAACAGCTGAGTAGCGGATTTGTTGCCAATCTAGAGAAACTTAGCTTCGCAACAACAAAGATAACGCCTTCATTTATTATTTAAATAATGCTTAATACTTTCTGGAATTTTTTCGAGGAAATAAGCGTTTAAGATTTACTTCGTAATTTTTAGTACAGATATTTTGAGTTTTTATGTATTTTTGCCTTGTCGCGAAGTGAAAACTGAATTAATTGAATGAGCAATACTCAATCGTCTGTGAAAATCTGTTTCTTTTTTGTTTTGTTGCTTAATTTCTTTATACATCGTTCTAGCTTTATTATAGTATTTGAATAGAACATGTGGCAACGATTAGATAATTCTTTAAATGATATAAATTTGTGCATTCTGAGTTATAATATGAACGAAATATAATACTGTTAAGTAAACCTAGCGCCAGAGTGTCGCTGTGGTAAACAAAGTGAATTTTAAAGAATGCATTTATTCTATTGTGGTTTATGCGCTGTCGGCGAAGTAGGTTTAATTCAATCTAATAAGTTTAAATAAAATGCAAGAAAAAATGTGTATAATTTAATATTCCGAACAAGGAAGTCATGTGGTGTACACATCAGATTTTTTTTTTTTTTAAAATTCATGCAGCCAACATGCTGATTGTTATAATTTTAGTTAACTCTTCTAAAAATAAGGATATAAATAGGTAATCAAGAAAAAAGTTTCAGGGGTATGCTTACTTCTCCGTTTCTTGTCCATTTTTTTCGCTCGTTTAGCTGCCCGTCTTGCCTTTTCCTCTCGTTCCTGCTGTTCCCGGCACCGATGGAAATTCTCGACGACTACACCCACGAACATATTGAGGACGAAAAATGCCACCAGGAGGAGAAAGGAGATGAAGTAAAGTAGTCGCCATTCATTGTAATTCTCAATGGGCTGAAAGAAGAAACACGAAAGTTTGAAAAAGCGAAAAATAAAAGAATTATTTTTTTGTCTGCTATAAACACACACACACACATACACACACACACACACACAACACACACACAAAAAAAAAAAAAAAAAAAAAAAAAAAAAAAAAAAAAAAAAAGCCACAATTCCTACTTTTTTGTTGCACGATGGAACATCCTAGACTAGGATGAGTTAATACATTTATTTCTATCGAAACCAAGGTTCATAACCAAACTGCAACTTCTTTAAGGTACTTTGAGATGGTAAAAATAACACGACTTGAATGTTAAAAAAGCAAATAGTAAATCAAAAAGAATCGGCATAACTCGAGTAAATCAAAAAGAATCGGCATAACTCGAGCTGGACTATAGTTTCGGAGATTAAATAGCAACTTCTTCCTATGCTGGAGTATTAAAACACTGTACGTTAAAACTAAAACTATTATCTCACAATTTAAAGGGCTTTTACGAGATCTAAACACTAATCCAACTTTCTTAGACTGTAGAAAGATCTACCGTTCCGTCTTTTCTTTTCAATCCTAGAACATTAAATAATTACAACAATGTCGATGAAGTAACTAAAATGTTATTTGCGTTTCAGTTTGAAGTTACATAAACTAAAATGTTAACAAAATTACGTGAAACATTTTGTAAGTTGGATAGACAATAATGATTCAAAGCAATTATAAATCAAATTTGAAAGGCTAACAACCTGACATCCCTACTTTGGAATTATGGACGTAATTTCAGACAAAGAGAAGTTTGCCAAACTTGCAACAGAGCCTTAAAGATAGGTAACAACAGACGAGTTTCAACATGGCAAGGTGAAGTTGACAATTCTCTGCCCTAAACATAAATTCCCTTTCTTTAATCTAACTTCATTTCAGTTTTCTGGTAGAGTACACCAAACAGCAAAAGTGGAACACAGATTCAGCTTATTATTTTTTTAAAAAAGACCTTGTACAGATAGTTCTTGCCTTCTGTTTACCATAGACTGCATTCCGAGTCTTTTTCTCTCTATTAAAGTTTCGCAGTTTTTATCTGGTCACGGTAAATTTGAAAGTTACCTGTTTCGTTTTAATCTAGGATCAAACAATTTATGTGAATGTTCAAAAAGAGTATCTCAGGATATGGAACATTTGATTTTCTCATGCCCTGCATTTGATGGTCCTGGATCATGGTTCGCAGAATGATTTGAAAATGTTCGGAGTGACTTGACCGGTGAACTTATCTGTTTTCGTGAATCCAGACTGCTGTTCTTTGCTTTCGTTCGTTTTATTTATGCATGTAACTTTTAATGTTTTAGTTAACTTACTTCTGTAAGCCCCGTGCTGTACATCTGTGTGCACGGGGAGTCTGTATGTTTTCAAATAAAAAAAATATATACAAAAGTGCAACTCGTTTTTTAGATGCAACTAGGCTAACGTTAATCGTATTTTCCTTAAGCATTCTCATATAAACAGAAACACCGTAAGCCCTTTTACTAACGTCACAGAAACTATGAATTTCGTTTATGTCATTAGCCTCTTCCTTCGTTTAGTTAAGAACGATTCATGGGATCCTCAAATTCGAGATTCCAGGAAGTTCCTTGCACCAACGTTGCCATTCTGATTGAATATCAGACGGATGTCTGAAACCCCAGGGAATCTTTCTTTTCAGTAATTCTTGGAAAAGACACCTGACACTGATAGTGAATGAAATTATGATTCCTAATGAATCGAATATTTTTCCAGCAGTTTCGCAAAAGGGAATGTCTATTCCTGGGGAAGGATAACGTCTTGAGCACTCTGTTATCATCAAGATTAAAACAATCTTTCGTAGAGTTCCAGGACAATCCTAAGACTATGACTAAGTATGTATCTGAATGCGTAAAAAGTGCACGTTAAACCCTTCTTCTCGATACTTGTGTATCAACTGTGGATCGTTGCATATCCACTTTCGAAGATTCGGGCTAGTCTTTTGCATAATAAATTTTGCCTTGGAAGAAAAAGCGATGGCTTCTTCGGGGGAGTTCTGACCCGCTATGAGATCATTGACATTATAAATATGCGTCACATAGTCTTATAGTTATCGGGTAGTTATTACGAATATTTTCAGTGGGCTTTTTGGTAGTAGCAATTAGTAAAAACGGACTTATGTTCATACCGAACAGTTGCGCGATTGAATTTAAATACTTCCGCCCCTGCAGTTGATAGTACAGAGCGAGAGTGTTGTGGTGAGAGTGATTAGACTAAAAACAAGACGTTACTATTTGGAGTAAGACTTATGTATCCTCGGACTACGATAATCACATTGTCCACTCTCCATGCCACCCTGCAGACTTCGATATAGAAGCAAACCGTAATCCTCCAAGTGCACTACAATCCTTAGCCGTGTATACTAATGGCTCCAAAGGAGAACTCGGGACTGGCAGTGCCTGGTGTGCCAATGGAGGGTGGACCACAATAATCCATTCCTGGGCTAAGAAGCTTTCATCCCAGTAACTCAGGTGTTTCAGGCAGAACACCCTAAAGGCAGCTCTGGACTTTACTGCTAACAATGGCAGGTATAAAGTAATTTACACAGACTCAATGTCAAGCTTGCAGGCCATCCAGAGCGGGCGCAGTAGACATCCCATTGTCAAAGACATACAAAAACTATTAATTTCGATTCTTGCAAGTTTGAAGCCCCAGCTACAATGGGTTCCAGCCCATACGGGGATTAAAGGAAATGAAGCAGCGGATATGATTGCGAAAGGCGCAGCCAATGAACCCCATGTATTCTTCTTATCTTCTTTAATAGTATATTCTTCTTATATTCTTTAATGGTATATTCTTCTTATCTTCTTTAATGGTATATTCTTCTTATCTTCATTAACATCTGCGTTATAATTCTGGAAAAGAAATCTTGCTGCATCTCCATCTCTTTCCGCTAGTGACATATATATAAATGCCTTCTCAATGCCGGCTGGAAAGACAATTTTATAGAATCGGAAGTGTATTAATGAATGAAAAATTTTAGATTTTAATCAACACAAGGGAAAAGACAACCATTTAAAGACAACTGTCCAACTACGTATGAGCTAGCGTCAAAGACTTATGTTTTTTTTTCTCTGATTACAGTTTGATATGCCTCCCAGACGATACAGTGGTTAGGGAAGCCTACTACGGTGCCGAAGGGACATGTTTCGAATCCAAGGGGAGGCGTGGATGTTTGTAAATGTATTGTGTCTTTACCACATGGAGGCACTTTAAATATACGGTGAGCTGAAAGTACTCTTTGGCATAATTTAAGGCATAGAATGAAAATAAGGAAAAATCGGCATGTCATTTCCGATACAGTTTGTGTCAAAATACGTGTGTTAAAACAACGTTATATATATATATCCTAAACGCACTTTCGTGATATGAAAAACGCAAGTTAAATTTCCTAAGTCGGCCGAGTTAGTGTAGAAGATAGAGAAATGCCTTTTGTTTCCCAGTTCGAGTAGGTGTAGATTTTTTTCAAAATTAGAGTTGGCAAAGCAACTATCTGCTCGATGATCCTTTAGGCTAAAATATTGATAAAAAAAAGAACTGATAAAATAACAGTTTTCATTTATATTTTAAAGTAAGATCTTTCTTATGGCAACCGCAATGGTCTTTATGGTTGCATGGCAACCACCCTGATACACCGCCAACATACCACCCATGACTTCGATTTTCTGTAAGCATTGCGCAACTTTGGAAACTGTTGTGGAATTTTAAAGAAAAATGTGATTTTTTTTAAAAATTTATCTTTATTTTTGTATTGTAAATTTTTTTTTATTGGATAATAGAAGGTGGGGATAAATTCTCTTGTTTTATATCAAAGTCAGCTTTAGACCAATTACGGTAAACAGAAATCATTATTACGTCATTTTCTTTTGCTAATTCTTTTCCCGCAGGGATTTCGACACATAATTATTGTTCCTCTCGTATTAATTTTTGTTTTATTTTACATCATGAGTTAACTGGATTTGCCAGAAATAAATCCATTTTCAGGTGTGTGGTATTTTGCCCTCAAATCGCGTGTTTCGATTTTTAAGCAACGAAACTGTATATGACATAAGGTTTACGATAGTAATGAAATATTAACAACTACCACCCCTTGGGTAGAATAAGAATTGTCAATCGAATCGAGAGAAGTCACTTTTCTTCTTGTTTAGCAAGAGTTCACATCGAAGCAGAGACAATCTGTGAACTACAACAAATCTGTCTAATGTGACTCGGAATGCGACTGACAAACAGTACCTATCGGAAGTCAAGAAACTTGTTTCGTCTGCTTTTGTCAGAAAGGCGCCAGTATGACGTTGGTGGTATATCGGCGAGTGTCGGTTAATACATAATTTTCGAAATAATTGCTATTTAATGAAAAGACATGATGCATTATTTACTTGTTGATCCACACCGACAGCATCCAAACCTGTGTACATGATGTTTACCCAGCCATCTTTCGACGAAAGGACGAAAAGTGACATCAGGGCCTAAAAGGAGGAAGGAAAGAAAATTATACAACAGATATAACAAAGGGTTTACTCTGGTTTTTCAAAAAACGCTACTATAAGCTAACAAGCGATTATTTTTCGCCAAACTAAAATATTTATATATTTTCTAAAAAATAGCTGTTATATACAATAGCGTATGATTACGCTTGAGTTACAAAATTATTTAAGGTGTTCCTAGTTCGGAATTTATCAGCATTTACTGTTTAATTTACACTATTTGTGAAATTTTAATTCTTTAGAAATTCTGTAGTCGCCATTTTTCTGATCAGCACGATATATAGAGCGTCCGAAAATAAGCAGCAGCTTCATGTTATATTCACGGAAAATCAATGTTTCCATCTGAATAGACATTTTTCTCTTCTCTGAGTGACAATACAAAAATAATAATAGCATATTCAACTTCAATTAAACGATAACTTGCTTCAATCAAGGAACCTTCTTTTGATTTGATTTTTTGATCTTGAGTTCAAGTAAGTGACGTTTAGTATACACTGATATAAACTTTTAGGGTCTAATTATATGAGCAGCTTAATTATGAATAGTTAGAGGATGGAAACAAATTGTGTTTTTGCCGCAAGAGAGAGAATCCGCCAACTTTTATGTTTGAAGTTAAGCCTAACCATCTATTGGTATGATTAAAATTTTATTTCTTATTATTTGGCTGCTATTTTTGTTGTGTGCAGGCAATAAATGCCCTAAATGAAATGTAGACAGTAGCAACCATTAAATCAAGACCATTTGATAAGATAGAGTATTAGGTAAGAGTAATGAACTGCTCAATAAAATACACGACATATGATCTTATGATATAAAATAGGAGATATTTAAAGATATGACTTAATGCCTTTTATTATGGCAAGCATTCGTTAGGTGGGGCACTGTTTTCTATGGATTACTATAGTAATAATTTTGATCTGCTCCTGAGCAATGCTAATATCACAAAAAATTTTACAGAATATCAAAAACACAACCTATATTAGAAATATCTCGAATCTACTAAGTTATAGAATATGTATACGTACACCCTAATCTGCACGAATTCACAAGCCATTTTGCAGATATATCTGCCTGGTTTTTATGGAAGGTCTTGTCTTAAAAAGTTATTCAAAGTGGTTTAGAAGTTATCTAAATTTATCTTCCTCTTCTTCAGAAAAGTGCTGACATAATATGTGGAGTTTTTATTGAACAGATAAACCACTTCTTTCATCTTAATTACTGAGATCCCACTACTTTCCTACAATCTTAAACAGTTCCTTTTTTCAAATTAATCAATTTTAAGAAACATGGAATAATTCAAATTTGCACTTATTGATAAGTTTCATGATAAATAGAGAAAGCAAGAGATAACTGCAGTTGCCATGTATCCTTCTCTCACCCTTCTTCTTCTAACAGAAAAAAATTCTCTCTTGCTTTCTCTAATTCCTGATGAAGAATGACTTACAATATTTCGGCCATTTTATAATGTTAAAAAATATGTCTATTTGCTGTTGTTTAGCAAGGCACCTCTGTATTTTGAAATTTTAAACTTAATGTAATACGTATAGTTATTTACAACTAGTACCTAAATGATGAAATCAAAAATCGTTTTTCAACGATTCTAAACATTGAAGCCACTGAAAAATAACAATTTTATTTCGACGACAAAGATGAACAGTTTACATTAGAATGGACTACATGAAGGTATATTAAGAAACCTAATTAGTCTATGCAATATATCTGAAGTGTATGCGCTAGGTGAACCTGCTATGTACTTGAAGTTTCGAAAAGATTTGTAGGTGTACATGCTATGTACCTGAAGATTTAAAAAGCAGATTAAATTGTTTTAGCTATAGTATTTCCTACACTTTATATTTCTAAATGATAAATTACTTAAAATTTTAACATTTTATGTATCTTTTAAGTAACAGTTTCATAAAAATCAATGCATAAAATATATTAACCAATGAAATAAAAGTAAGTTAAATTGTACTCACTTGCCCCAAGTTGTCAAAATTATATTTCCTGTTTTGCCAGACGTTTCTAGGATCCTGCAGGCATTCGAATTTGTTGCGAACGCGTGAAGCACTTGGACCTTCACAGTAATACATGCTGCCTTTAAATAGCTATAAAAATAATAAGAAGCCGAATTTTAAACGAAGAAATCGAAAAATTAATTAAAATCATAATATTCAAATTATTATTTTATTACATTTGAGATCTCTGTATTTTTTGCGTGTATGTAGAGAAGAGCAAAAATAATCACATTACAAAATATGCATTCAACTGCTCTGTAACTAGGGGATTTTAATTCAGTAGTATTACGAGTTGAATGCATCATCATCTTTGCCGGGATACAATTACTTGAAAATGTGAACTATTATTATTTGGTAGTGGTGGTAGGAGACGATGCAGTGGTCGTTCCTGAAGATAACCTTACGTATTGAAAGTTTACGATTTCCCAGTACAGTAGAAAGGATGATTGTGTTGCCTCGTTTGTTGATAAAATCTGATAACCTGGGATTGTACATGGGAAGGCAGACAACAGTTGCCAAAAAACGATGCAGACCATCATTCATCTGGCATTTAGAAAAGCGACATCAACCGGATTTCAGAGTTGAAGGGGAAGGAGAACATAGAATGGATGCAAACAGTTGCATTGCGAGTAGGCATTTGATTCTAAAACAGCTGAAAAAAGACCTTTGCTCGCTGAATGAAACCCAAAAGCTTAAGATGCGCTAAAAACGTACGAAGTGGAATAGTTATCAACAGGAAGTAGTCATTTACTATGGTCAGCCTTATTAGCTTAGAAGTGTTTAGCCATAATCAGCGTCTTGTCTACATTGAAGTGTTCAATGTCTCAATTTGGTTTTGGAGGTTCTTTTCATAAGCAAGAAGTGGATGATTTGAATTTATCTGCAAATAAGAAATCCATGTTCACTATACAAGCATAAAAATGAGAAACTTCTTATCTGTTTGAATTCTTACGCATACTTTCTATTTTTTATGTAAAATGTAACTAATAGAATGTATACGTTGACTTGGTTAAGTGATAGTTCTACATTAAACACCCCTTCCATGAAATACGCCATGAACAGAATCCAAAATCTCAATTTCTGTATGCCACAAAACTGTCATCGTCAGAACATTCTCCATCAGGCATTGTAACAGATGTTACTACAATAAATGGTTTTAGATTTCTCTTCTGGTTGTTTTGTAACAAAAAACAAACAGAGTGGAGTACATAATTTTTTATATAAAAATCGGGAAGTTTTTTAATTCTTTCTCAATGACACTGTATGATGGAAATCTAAGGCTGACTACCAACAAAATGTTAGAATAAGAAAGGGGAATTGGTTCAGAAGAAGTTTGTCTTCTAACTTATCGGAGTTCATATACAAGCAAATATTTAAATATTAATATATACGGAAAATATTTAAATATACGGAAAATATTTAAATATTAATTTTTTTGATATTATTTCAAATGCATTTCTCAAATAATAATTGCCGGAAATAAAGAAAAACTGTTTAATTGAGCCATTAACTTAACAGCATATTTCGTTGAAAAAGCAAAACAAAACAGTATATTATTGGAGGGGTGCTGATTAATACCAATTTATTCTCAAGCTAGCGATTTGTTAGTCTTTATATTGTAAATAATTTTAAATTGTACTATAAATTGAGATGTACTTTTAATAATTACTTATTAAACTGATTGTAATTCTTTATTCTTGAGCTGGCGATAGCTCTTCTTCCCATCTGTGCAAACCAAGACATGTCATTAGGCTGAACTCAAAATGATAAGTAGAATTTTATGTTTGAACTATACTTTTATCTATAATAGGAAACTGATTATAATACTGTATGAATTATAATACAGTAAGTATGTCAGGCACATACATAAAAGATTGAGAGACACAAAATTTATATACATAAACGTACTTGTACGCCAAGAATTCCAAAAATAATGAAAAATGTGCAGCAGATGAGGACGATGTTTCCGATAGGTCGGAGAGAAGATAGAAGAGTTTGCACCACCAACTTCAACCCCGGAGCTCTATTGATGACCCTGAAAAAGTAATCGCATTGCAATCAGTTCACATCCGTCTGTATTTTTCCATTTCAAGAACTAAAAAACTATATTCATAAGCAGAAATTTAGGCAGAAAATTTGGGATACTTTCTAATTATTGCGAATCTCGCCATTTAAATAGAACCAAGATCATCATTATACAATCATCAGCTTTCTGTCTTTTTGCAAAATATTTTAAGAATTTTTGATTTACTAAGGGATTAAAGAAGGCCATTGCTTCGGCTTCTTTTGAAGTTACATCACAGGAATCAGTGTCTCCAGTGGTTCTTTCAGCTATGCATATATGGATACATCAGTGATATGACGCTGCTTTATGTGTTGAATCCTATTTTTACGTACATCATCATGATAATCACATCCACGTGTGAAGAAACCGAAGAAACAAACGTTGCAAACTTGCATTTTTCATTGTGATACTGGCCTAGCACTTGTAATGACGGTATGAGGTGACCCTGGATACATATACCTCATTCATTTACAGTCTGCACATCTGGTATTAAACAGGTATAATTACCTAACTGGGCCGCCCAGTCGGCATACTGATTAAGGACCGAAACGTCGTCGCATGGACCTCTGACCTAAGGTTCTACACCAATCAGAGTTATGCCCATGCGACGGAAAAGAATCTACCATCCACTGGCGGCATCATGACTCACATGTGAATATTATTGACAATATCTATTAATGTTACATCTAAAACAGTCACAAATATAATGATATACATCAATTCATCATTACATGCCATGGATAGGCTCTATGTTTTGGAGAGTGGAACTTATATATTAACCAGTTTCTAAACCTATGTCTTCTTCAATACGTCATAACATCATGTTCTTATGAGTTACACACCTAATGATTGTGTGTCCGTATTATTGTTGCAGTTATCCACAGAGTAGGTTAGTCACATCAGTTCAGGCAGTTGATAGTTACATAGCCCAAAGTATATGATGTTGTGTAGACTATTCTATGTTCATATAAACTGGATTCTAAGTTAGCTTTTGATAAATTCGAAGTACACTTTTGTTAAGTTCATTGTTCACGTAAATACTACTTGTCCACTTCTCTACATCATAACTTCCTGTCCTTAACACCTAGTTTGCACACCTCATTATGGGTGTCCATAGCAATTTGCACACTGTGTCGCAGTTAACCACAAAGCAATCACGGAATTGCAGTTGGGAAGTTCATTGTAATATGTACACTATTTTACCATTATCCACAGAAGCAAATGTTTTGTAAATAATAACTTGGCTCCCAGATGATTAAAAAAAAGAAGTAAAGAAAACTAATTCTAAAATTTTTTCAATACAATTCTAAATTGTGTAAAACTACAGATTTGTTATACAATTCCAGTCTATACAAATTGACTGGTATTCCAACAATATAAAGCACATATTCTAAAAAATGGTATTATTTATTCCATTGCATGTATCTAATTGTGTTTATAAAAAGGCTTCAATAATACACAGTTTCTTCAAGTAATAAAACGTCTACTGAAAAACAGGAACTAATTCTCAATAATAATAGACATAAAATACATAATTATTCAGTACATATTATTTACCATATCATCATACCATAAAAATACATATGCTTTAAATGCTGCAACTAATTTTTCATTACAGTTAGAATATTTACCAATCAATCATACTACAGATGTACATGTTTATAAAAACTGCAACTAATTTTTCATTACAGTTAAAATAATAACTTTTTTACTATAAAATTATAAATAGCACAATTAAACAATTTCAATCTATACAAATTGACAGGTATTCTTACAGTGTAAGAGCACATATTCAAATATAGCTAATCATTCGTGTAAAATGGCTATAATAGTGCCCAATTTCTTCAAATAATTAAAAACATCTACATAAAAACAGGAACCAATTCCCAGTTGTAACAAACATGAAATACAAAAAGTTATTCAGTACATATTATATACCAATCAATTATACCATATAAATGCACATGTTTCAAATGCTGCAACTAATTTTTCATTATAGTTAGTATAGTTACCAATCCATCATACTATATAAATGCACCTGTTTCAAATACTGCAACCAGTTTTTCATTGCAGTTAGTATATTCCAATTTGCCAGCTAATAAAATGAATTAGCTCTAAGTTGAATTGGCTGTAATACAGAGGCTGTTCCCACATTTTTAGACGATGTATATTGTATTCACAAAACTAAATTACATAAAATTCTTGGTTTAAAGTTCTATTCACATCCCTTATCTGAAACTAACTTTCGACACCGCAATTTCCAGGATAGTAATGCCCTTTTGAAGTGGAAGAAGAGATATTCTATCCCATTCCTCCGACCGCTTTCCAGAGTCCTGTTAGGGTTTCCGATAACGTTTGGATACTGCAGTTTTTAAAAGTCGGAAAGCACAAAATCCATAGGTGACCCATCGGGAGATTTAGTAGGGATATCGGAATACTTGATACCAGTTTTTTTGTTCATTCTTTAGGAAATTTACAGTGGATTTGATGTGTGACCTGTAGCTTTGTAATGATGGAGTCTCACAGATTGATGGCCTGTATGTAAAGCGATGGTATTTATTCAGAACACATTGGCGATAAAATATGTTCCTGATAGTTTTGGAGTTATCTTGACATTTTTTTTGCACTCTCTTTATTTTAACTTGCCATTATAAGAAAAAACCACACAGTCATGAATCCCTTAGAAAAACTTTCTTTAGATTTTGAACCATATACTTAAATTTTTTTCTCCCCTTTTATGATAATAAATGGATGTTTTTTTGTTACAATAATTTAAATACACCCATGCTTCATCTATTATGACAATTGCTTTCCATTTTTCTTTGGATAAGTGTTCCTCATATAGAATTCTGCAACGTGTCCTGCGTTGAGCGATATGCTTTGGAGAAAGACGATGCACATTGCGTTTTTCGCTTTCTTAAGATTTAAATCAACGTTTATCATTTTGTTTACAGTGGACACGGAGCATTTTAATGATTTTACAACTGTCCTTTGACTAGGGGGATTTTCTTTTAACATTAAACAACGTACCTTTGCAATAGTCGAAAGATGTCCGTTTTTTCCTTGGATACTTGTTTGGAATTTTTGTCCCTCTGGAGGCACCAATTTGACGTTTTTTTCCTTTCTTAATGATGATATTACCTATCGACGCTTTAGATATCACAAAACTATGACTCTGACATTGTTTTTGGATAACGGAGTATGCATATTTCTCTTGGGAAAGAGCGTAAATGTAGCCTTTCGAACCACTGCTTTGTTAAATTCGCCATTTTGAATAAAAACAAAACTTTCAAGCCACAGACGATAATTTTGACTTTTAAAAACATAGTACAATTGCAATTACTTCTTTTACAGCAAACTATTTTTTATTACCGCTTACCAAAATCGTCTAAAAAATGTGCGAACAGCCTCTGTAGTTCACAATGCTTAAAATAAGAACATCTACTAGAAAACAGGACCTTATGCCCAATTGTGATGGACATGATATACAGAAGTTATTCTGTACAAGGCTGTTATAATTCCAGCTGACTGCCGAGGCGATTGGCTCGGACTCAAATCCCGGAGAAGCCATGGTTGTAACTGTCTTTCCCTTCGTAGGAGGCAAAGGTGCCCACCTATTAGGTGCTTCCATAAGGAACTGGCCAACACTTCTTGTTGTGGCGCAAGGCTAATGGCTATTAAATAAAGTGCTCGGCCATTTTAAAAAAAGTTACCTAACTGAGATATTAATGGCCGTGGCTCTGCCATTATTTTGGGGCCTTCGTTGCCCTATCTTTCAAGAAGTCAATGGAAGACCGCATATTCCCCATGCTGTTTTACATTTCTTCTATGCACATAATGTTCGACTCTTGCTTTGGCCGGGGAGCTTTCCATATTTATCACCAATCGGAAACCTCCTGTTGCTCAGTGGCTATAGAGAAACTGTGATGATAACATTCGCAGGTCAGTATGACAGAAGTCTGGCATAATCGCATGAATTGAGGTACCTATAACTGGATTTCAAAGTTTATTCGACTTGATGCTAAATCGTCCTACTGTTGCCAGAGGTGTATACTCGGGTGCTGATTTCTGCATGTCCTGCATTTGAAAATTTTCTAAAATTTTAATCATTTCTTCTTTCGATTATAATGTATTTGTAAAATAAATATGGTTCTGCTCACTTTTTTTTATTTCATGGTGCAGGGCTTTAACAATCAACAAAATCTTTTTAGAATTTTTTAGAATTTCTAATTTAATTAATTTTTATAATTTCTTTTCTTTTTAGAAACTATTCGAGAAGCTAGTGGGTGGAATGTAAATACAAATCTTTGTTAGTTTGCTTATGTGCAGTTTCTTTATTTTTCAGTAATAGTTCAAATTTAAAGCCTAATAACGTGGCTCTACTACTCTTTGAGTACTAATATAATTTAAAAACAGCTTCACCAGTTCGTAGTACAGCGCTAAAGGCAGGACGAAGCAGAAACTCAAAAGACAAGACGGAGTTTGTGAACTTCCTAAGCTTTGCTTCTCGCTTGTTATTTAAATGTGATTTCGTTTTATATTTTCATAAAATAGACGAAAGAAGAGAAGTGAAGGAAAAATTTCACATACGTAATAATGTGTTATTCAAAATAAGCTTACTTGCGAAACTTAAATGAACACACCATGCAGTTAAGCATCATGTAACTAAGTTCTGCACAAAAGGGAGATATTAGGTTTTAATCAAAGGTTAAACATTCTTTCGTTTAGGATAAATTAGTTTATAAGTGAGATAATCTTCTAATCAAGATGGAGTTTAAAGAAGTCTTAAGGTTTTAATTTTATGCTGCATGTTTAACTAGTGCGTACGTGACTAATAACTAGTTATTTCTTAACAATAAAAGACATCCAGAGAAAATTTACGTCAGGCCTTTTTTGAATGATAGTCAATTATAAAAATGTTTTTTAGTAACACATTATTTCTCATCTTACCCAACTTTTTAAGGATTTTT